TTGGCACAAATGAATGTACATTTTCTGTTAATGAACAGCAAAAGGTGTAGTAGAAGGACCTGTTTGACCTCCCCCGGAAATGATTCTGAATCACAATCTGACGCTGCCAATCCGACGCTAGGTTCACTTTGGTTCACGGGCGCGTGTCGAAAGATGTCGAGACGTGACATTTTTTTYGTTAGTTAAGAGCTTACTGAATATTTTTTGGAGTATTTTGCCCACTCCCCATATTAAAAATCAAATGATCTGTGCCTAAGCCCGTGAAATAGATAATTGGACGCCACATTTTGAGGCCCCTTTCCCCATCAAAATTACGCTCCGCGGTTTTGTAATGACATAATAGAAAACCTTATTTATGTTGATTTATGCGTACGGCTCATCAAGCGTGAAGCTCGATGTCTGGCCTTAGCCTTATACACTTTAGTATGTATTCTTTAGTCACGGTCTCTGACTGTAACGCGTATTACGATTTCACTGAACGGGTAGGTATTCGTTTGTCACGGTCTCTGTCTGTGACACGTTTTACGATTTCACGGGTTAAATCAAAGATCCATCTTTAATCCTTCATTGGTAAAATGATGAATATAAGGAACGTAAAGGGATCAGGAGGATGGCAAGGAGGAGTGTTGGCCCTCACGCAAAGTGTGAGTAAAACGTTTCACTGCTAATCAGTTTATCTTTCTACATATTGTTAGTACTATATATAATATGAGTGGCCGTGTTAATACAACACGGATACGAATATTGCATATTACTTATGAAACGTCTAGGTGTATACATTCATGTTCTACTATAATTTTAAAGATAAAATTGAATTTGGCTAAGAAAATTGGAGTTAAAGTTTATGCAAATCAGGACGATTTTGTGTAAGAGTTAGTTACCGAGAACGGAGGCAATAAGCCATATACATCCSGAGGGCTGCAGGCCAGAGGGATGTATAGGCTTATTGCCGACGTTCGATGTATTTAAGTATTTTATTTATCAATTGAGAAGGTTTTCCATCAAATGTTGCTCATTACAAATGCGAGGTCTAAATATAGTTATTAACCGGGTTAATAACTAACTATATATTGACCTCGCATTTATAATGAGGGTTATAACAAAAATAAAGCCTTGTGAAGAACAAAGAAACCCGTGTCAATTGAGAAATAAATCAGATATACAAGATATACCACGGACAATGATTTCTATTGTGTTTTCCTCATTGATTATGCATGAGTTTTATAATGATCTATACACGCATGCCGAAAAAACCTTGCATAAAAAAGCTTCGAATCGAAGAAGATATCACATTTGTGCAAGAAACGGCTTGAAAACCCACCTCAAACCATCTATAATRATGAGCAGGAAGCGAGCCTTTTGCGTCCCAAGACCTTAGACAGACTTTTACGACCCACTTATACTTTCCATTAGTCTTTGTCTGATACCCTTTCATAGGCTGGCCGTGACTGAGTTCTGGACTTAAAGATAGCCCTCGAAAACTTGCAATAAGGAAACGTAAGCTTTCGTAGTTGATTAGCTGATGGAAATGGCCTTTTTTCTTTTGTAGTTGTTGAAAATTCTAAGAGAAAGGGGAGAAATAAACCGAAATTATTGCTAAAGATATTAAACTTTTGCGACGCTATGTTGCAATTATATTAGTCCCCACCCTTTCTTCTCCCCGTCCCCCCCTCCCCCAAAGTACAGGCTACAATTGAATCACACAGGAAGCCCGACAACGACCACAAGAAGCCCAAAATTTAATTTTTGATTAAGATGTTAATATTTTAAAATTTTTTTTTTTTTTCTTAAGCCAAACTTACAAATATACTAGATAAGAAGCAACAGTAGATAGTCTACAGAAAAAAAAAAAAAAAAAAAAAAAAAAAGTCGTTACTAACGGCAATCCTCTCGTACTGAACTTATTTATTCAAAATATAGACCACTATTGTTGTTCGGCATAGTGTAGTAATATTTGTACTCTTTACACCTTTTGCTGTTCATTAACGGCAAAGGAATATTCATTGAAGCGAAGAAGCATTGTCATTAGAGCGAACAGGCATACAATAAGGCGAACGGACTCTCAAGAGTGCGATGGAACTTTCATTAAGAAATTTAGCATTGAATTTGACAATCCGAGTGAATATGTTTGCGTGGGTTCATTAACGTTTTCAAACTTTCATTARCGTTTTGGTGCAGACAATAAACCACAACACACATYCAATACAGTGTTTTGGACATTTATTTACGCAATACAATATAAGTATATTTTCCACTAGGAATTGTAGGATTTTAACTTTCTTTTTATTTTTTTACAAGCCGTGAATATGACTTCGTACAAGCAAAGCGCCGTTAGGTATAAATATCAAATCTGTTCTGAGTTTTTTAATCATTCTTTTTTGGATATTGCAATGGCTCAGCAAAGAAACCAAATTCCAAATGAAGTAAACCGCCACCCGGTTAGCTCARTTGGTAAGAGCGTCGGTTTGTTGTGCGGGAGGTCGTTGTTCAAGCCTCGGCCGGACCAACACTCAGGGTTTTAAAATAACTGAGGAGAAGGTGCTGCCTTTGTAATTACATCTGCAAATGGTTAGACCTTCACGTGGCTCGGATGATCACGTTAATGGCGGTCCCGTCCCTAATTAACTAGAGACGTTAACAGAGGACCACAAGTTTCAGTTGAATTACTGGGGTCAAGTGTTATCCTCTATAAACAAAGTTAATTATTATTATTAGTCAGATAGCGTCTTGTGAGGGGCTATGAAGATCCACAGAAATGCATAAAATGGTACAACCACATGCAAMCATAWCGTCCAAGATGTTTAAATAGAGAACACATTCAAGGATAAATTCACTTTCAAACTCTCGTATATTATGCCCACATATTTGGTTTATAAGACACAATATTTGGTTTATGTAGGTAACGTCCAGATTTTGATTAATTATGCGACAACTAACAAGGGCACCATATAAAAATAAAATCAATGAAAAGTCCGATGTTGATGAAACTTATATTAAAATAAATTTTCATTTATTATCTATGTCTCTGGAAAAAATAATGATTGCAGTCCTTATACAACGTGAGATACAGCGGATTTAGTTCASGTGGTCGTGAGCTTTGGAAACTGGAATGAGCGTCCTTAAACCAGCTTATATGAAAGAAATATACATGTATACAAAATTTTAATAAATAATGATAAGAAAATTATTTTTTGAAAATTATTTTTTTATAAACAAAACTAGCCCCTGGGGTGGCTGGTGGTGGGTTGTGTACATGTGACAACATTGTGGGAGAGTATTGATGTCAAAAGCAAAAACTCGTGCAAGGAAACGATGTAGTGCATTTCAATTTGATTTTTTCACTTCGTGGCTTTTATTTTGGGGGACATTAAATTCATCTCGAATAAAAAWAATAATTGAAGTTTTTTTCTCCGATTATATTTTCACATTTCAGTTTTATTTACATTAGGGTTCCTGTGCCCATCGGGAGCTCCGCTTTTAGGCATCAGTGCCTAAATTTATATAYTATTTTAGTGGGTTGATGGAAACTGTATATTCAATAAGGTTAAGTGTCATTTCCTTTATATTTTCCTTAGGATAGTGGGAAGTCACAATAACAAAAGCTCGTGGGCATAATTGACATATTCTATCTGAGTTTGATTTTTAACAATTATTCGTGAATATCGGGGAATATTTATAGATACGTGAGTAGTGAGGCGAATAATTGTTTCATTTATCTTAACACAAGTGAATTTGTATAGGTAATRAAACGGTTTCGAGTTCAATTTGGGATTAATTTGCACRAGTGTGTTTTTCGAAGAATTGAAACTGCACGAGACCGTAGGTGGAGTGCAATTTCAGCTCCTCGAAAAAAACACGAGTGCAAATTAATCCCAAATTGAACGAGAATTCGTGTTATTACTTATTAATAATAAACATGAAAAAAAATTACGCAAGAAAGAGACGAAAATATGAGAAATATTCGACGCATAAGCTTAATATTTGATGATGATTGGTTCGTTCACAACCAACTATATTCAAAGCGATTTTGGTTTCAAATACATGTAATTCAAAGAGTTTTTTATTTATTTTAAACGAAAAATTGGTTATATGTTTATTGTAAAAAGTTGGGTTTTTTTACTGTTAAGTGAATCTGAATCACTATGAATGAAGAAATTTGGATTGGCTGACTTTGCAGCTAACTGGAGTTGTATTTTGAAAAAATATATACCTGACATTCGTTGAACGTGTTCAACAAAAAACTTTGCGACTCAGTTTTGGAATCTTGTAGACCAAAATATTGTGCAAGCACTTACCACATCGTGTTTTAGARTGTGTCCACGATAGGACCAGGTAAAACCAGGCAGGGGGTGCTACATGGGGGTTCACCGATTTTGCTGAAACTCGGCACAGTTGTAGGTCTTGGAGAGTTATTTACTATCCTAGTGTATTAATGGGATCTGTCATTTTGGTGGCAAGTTAGGGTATCCCCCCTGAAAATGCCCATTTTGACTCGAAATACAATATAAATCTGCCTCATTTTTTACTGAAGTAGAAAAACTTTATTATTAATTGCAGAGATGTAAAAATTTTTTTGTGTGAAATAAAGATATCAATTAGTGTCACCACGCGAGGTGTGCCTTTCTTTTAAGTCGTTGCCATGGMAACAATATTTTTGAGACAAAAAATTGCTTAATTTGAATTTACTTTAAAATCTTGTTTTTAAATTGTCAATATCTCGAATGTTCACTCTGAAAACTTCAAAATTTGTTGTCACTCAATTCAATCTATGTTTTAAATTACTAAAACAAGCTTCGCTTCTTGGCTATCGATAGCCAAGAAACTAAGCTATATCGATAGCCAAGAAGCTGAGCTATATCGATAGCCTGATAGCTAARCTATCGATAGCCAAGAAGCTAAGCTATTAATAGCCTGATAGCCAAGCTATCGATAGCCAAAGACAGAGGAGGTAGAGGAGGAGGAGAGGAAGGCAAGAGGAGGAGGAGGAGGTGGTGGAGGAGGAGGAGGAGGAGGAGAGGAGGATGTAATTTTACATCGACCTCTCATCGACCTCTCATCGACCCTCAATCATAGAAAAAAATTAGCAAATATACGATTATCATAAAATCAGTTATTAATTTTGGTATTTCAAATGGTCTTGGCCATGGAAATAAAAATTGGCCATGGGCTTCCTGTGTTTTTCAATAACTAAATCGGATATGGGCTTCCTGTAGATTTGTGCATCCATAAAATTTTTTTGATGCCGTGTCTTATTTATCACGTGACAAAGATGATCGAAGGAAAAAGAAGAATGACAGAGCTTGCAATGATAGAGACATGCGAATAATTGTCCAAGGTGTTAAAAAGGTCTCTATCATTGCAAGCCCACCGTTGGTCACGCTTCGATGCAAAGGCACGGTTACCTTTCAAGATGGCGCAGGGAACTGTGAAGGGGACTATTCTGTGTTTRCTTYCGATTAAAATAAAAATTGAAAATCAGGAACATATATATATATACRTATTTGGCAAGTCTTTTAAYGTTTGCGCTCTTATACCGAAAGTCCAAGAAATCCTGGTCTCAAAAAGTGGGTTATTTCAGAGCTCTCGTTCTTCCACGCAGGCCAGTAGAAACACAGGCTCTGGGTACGAGATTGATAAATGCAAAGCTTGCCGACATGARTATAAAACTTAATTCTGTACATGCTCTGAATCCGTATGCAAATTAGTCAAAATATATGTAARATTCACTTTCAAACATGCCTGATGAAAATGCCAAAACTTAGAGTCCATGCTTGAAACTTAAGGCTAATTCTTTCGTATTGTGTTTGTTAATACAGTATCTTGGTCTGACAATAGTATACTATAGGACTTTTTTGAGTATACTTGGAGAACAGAAWMATTTATTTTCTCACTCAAACTCTTCAACATTCTTAGAAAACGTGATATAATGTACGCATGCGCAAACGTTTGTCTCTAGTTTCAAGCTTGCCATCACGCACCACACCCTAGACTAAAGCGCCCAGTACTTAATCACAACTAATTGTTATATTTATGTGCAAGAGAAAATGAACTAAAYGAAGCAAGATATTGGTATAAAGGCTTGTAATGGTCATAAGCACCGTTAATTCAGAAGCTTGTATTTATTTTTKGGGGGAAAGCAGATTGATTCAAAATCATTTCAGGAAAGGTCACATAGGCCTTTTAATCAAAACAAACAACATGAATGATTCTAAAAATAGCTTCAAAGAGTGCTCGTGATGGGAGACGGGGATTACTTCTCTTAGTTCATTTTATCTTGGTATGTATGTATGCGTACCTATTGCCTATCGCCTTTGGCGATGACGTTTTTTGAAATAGGTGTGAATYTCATTATTAGTTTCGTGTGATGTTTGAGCGTGGACTTCRCACCCAAAGACCCGCAATCCTTTTTAAAGATTCCAAGTTACCGATAGCAGAAAGTTCGTTTGAAAAAGCCGAGGAATGTCCAGTTTGCTCTTACAATGATTGGGATCCGCTTGAAGAGGTCATTGTTGGAAGAGCTGAAGGTATCTCTTGAATTTTCTTTATCAATCTCTGAATTAACCTCTTTACCCTGAAACAACTTCTGATGAGCCGATCGATCAACCCTCAAGAGAGAGAGAGAGAGAGAGAGAGAGAGAGAGAGAGAGAGAGAGAGAGAGACCTAAAACAATCTTTACGCACTTTTGATGCCGAATCGATCTGGGAATCGCACCCAAGATCCAAGATGCTAGATAAGAGTGCACTACTGCTACACCACTAAATCATTAGAATGATTATGATGCCAGCTGGGCTGATTGTCTCACTGATGAAATAATTCATATCTATCTCTTAATATAACATATGTAATACTGCAAAACTATTTTTAATTCGCAGGGGCAACTGTCCCAGTTTGTTCGGAGGAGGTGAAAGCTGCAAAGAGTCCCAAAAACTGGCCTTTCTTCCAGAAATATGGCGGTCAASCCTTCCCAAAAACACACATGCAAAAAGCAGTAGATGAAATCGAAGAGTTATGTAATGTGTTGAGGCATGAAGGAGTGACAGTGAGACGACCAGAAATTGTGGACTTCTCCCAGGTAATATCTCTCGATAAAGAATTCAGTAAATACCATCAGTCTACTGAATAATGATTGAATAATTAGCAATTATTCGCCAAAAACGAAGTGATTATCGGTGAATACTCGTAAATATTTACGATAATCACTGTGCCTGAGAAGAATAATTAGTTTAGTAGAATTTTAGACTTGAATATCAGAAAAAAG